CCCTCCCCATCCGTACCGCAAGCTGAAGCGGGCAGGAGGCCTGCAGCCCGCAGCTCCTTCCTCGCCGGCCCTGGCAGAGGGTGCTGGGACAGCCCTGCCCAACGTAGCCAGCACCCCTGGGGACCCCTGGGGGTGAAGGCATCGGCAAGCGAGACCCAGGCAGCAGACCTTCGTCAGACTCCCTTTCCACCCCGCGAAGCGGACAGCCTGCACCCAGCCTTGTACCTCTTGTTTTCATTTACCCCGGGCAACTGCTGAGTCTGCCTTAGGAGTCCAAAGCTGGTTTTAAGGCTGAAATTTGGCCGCGAAGCTGCACTTTCCTTCAGTGGGGTGTGCAACTATTTAAATGGGTGCTTTCCTAGGTTCACATCCGCTGGCAAACAAAAAGCTCAGATAAAAAGTCTTTAGACAAAGACCTCCTTGTTGGGAGTAATCTCTACTCTTGGCCACTGAGACTCTTTCTTAGGGAAGTGGGCTTCTGACACCAGAGTTACCAATCTGCCGTTTGGAGATTAAACCAGAATGTTGTCTCAACAAAATTATGAGCAACATTGCTCCAGCCCTTGTCCAGGGAAAGGATGCCTTCCTCAGCAGACCCATATCCTGAGTCAGGCACAGCCACAGCCCCTGATCTCGGAAGATTTCAGACCCTCCTCCCTCAGCATCCTAGGAAATGTATGGTGGTGTGGTCATGGTGTGGTGCTCACTGCAGTGGAAAAACACGGATACTTAGCAGATACTGCAGCATGAGTATTGCTTAAGAGCCCAAAGGGGTTTTCCCTTTCTCAGACAAAATCCCTTCAGAAGTGCCTTTTAGCTACTGCCAAGGCTGTAAGTACCAGCAAAGTTTAAAGCAGCAACAGATAAAGGTGAAAAAATTATGTTAAATCCTTTACTCTGCTACTTTTTAATGCCTACACATAACTAACCAAGTAATTATGCCAGGTCGAAGTGCAGCTAGGTGTAACTGAAGAGCATTTATAAGTGATACTTCAGATAGGTTATATTCCAAATAATATGTATTCTAGCCATGCTTACATACTTACACAATACTTCTCACCATACACTATAAATGATCTCTGTCATGGACCGTATCTTCAGTTACATTTGTAGACTATCTTACAAACAAGGCCCACGTGTGGTCTTTGGATACTATTCCAGTAGATATAGTGCTAGCAGCCAATTTATTCGTTATCAATACTGGCTCATGCAAAATCCCTGTAGTAATCCATAAGATCTGTGACACAGTATAGACTGTAAAGCTTGTCCCATCTTTCAAGTTAAAAATTTCTTTCTCTTATTACGCATGATAATAATTCATTATGAGGTATTTGTACAGTGCTTTTATAAGCTTGCATCAAACCTTTTATATTTGGGGAAAAAAAAAAAAAAGTCAGTGCTAGGTTGGTAGTCCAAATACACTTGTTACAACTGTAGCCTTTGTTTTTTTCTTTCTTGAAGGCACACACAGGGTCAGCACTAGTACTACTGGAAAGTATCTTCATGAAGTGGAGAGCAAAATTTTAAGTGTATTTTACTAAATCCTTTAAAGAAATGGTAAAGTATACCAAAAGTTCCTAAACTGTGCTGAAATGCCCCACTGCTGTTGGTTTTAAATCATAATCAGGCATAAACTGAAAACATGCATACATGTTGACTGCAACAATTTCTAAATTTCAAATGCAAAACCCAAAACAAATTCAATTTTTCATTAGTGCTATGCAACACTGTTAACTTTGCAGATATTGCATGGGAGCAAATGAAGGCAGAATATGACCTACAGATCCTTTTTCCATTCATATGAAACTTCTTTAATCCTTTTGCTGAATATGAGCTGCTCAGTAGAGATATATTATTATTGAATATGGTTTGAATAACTATCCAGCACTTTCTGGGTAATTAATATTGCATACATTATGCTTGAAAGTATGCAATCCATATTTTCAACTCAGTTTGCCAAGTATAAATTCAGAGCTGGATACAACACAGCAGGCTGTAAAGTCCATCCCGTACCTTAAAGCAATAATATATTCACAAATATTGTTCTTCAATTTATCAAGCAGGCAGAATAGGTGTTTTGCCAACACTGTTAGCTACAGCATGCCAAGTTATCATAAGCAATGTGTTGTATAATCACCGGTAACATGTGCCTAGTTTCATTCTAACAGTTCTCCATTTTTGTGATCTACCATATATTCATCATCCTGGTATTTCTTCATTGCTTGTCATTGATATGACACGAAGCAACATTTGCAGCCATATTTATGTAATGGTGGAAATAAACCAGGCTCAGGAGTTCTTCAGTGCTGAAGTTTTCTGTCCCACTGAATCCCTTTTAACTGGCTTCCTGTGGAACAACAGATATTAATCTAGATAGAGAGTAATAGCCAATTAATTAAAGTTAAATTCTCTAAAGTGATGAACATACAGAAAGGAATCTGTGTTACCTTTCCTAATGCATCTTAATACCTATCACACATTTCTGGATGCATAATTGATTCATGTGTGTTTTAATTGTGTGAGACAAAAATATGTTATGTTACCCTCAGATATTAAAAGCAATTAAAAATAAATCAGGATTCTTATTTTAGCTGACAACTTTTTAAGTGATCTTGAATGTGTGCTACTTGGATATGTGCTGCAGAAATTATATATGATTTCTAATAAGTACACGCTTAGATAAATGAGACAAAAGGAACTACTAGACACAAGATGTCTTGTCATAGTTGGTAAACAAAAAATACCAAAGGTTTGGAGATGCCTGAAGGAGACAAATTGAATGTCAAATATACAGTTTCAATGTAGTGAAGACTACAAGCTAATCTAATAAATTGTTATTAAAGAAGTTTAAATACTGGCAAAGATCTGCAAGAAAATTGTTAATGCACTAGTTCAAAAAAAAAGAATTATTCAATAAAGCGACTAACTGGAAAGGTTTAATCAACGAAGTGCACGGATATTAGGTCTATGTAAGAAAGTTCATTGAGAATGTTCATAATCTGAAGCAATTAATTGGAATGAGTGCGGTAGTTTGGGTTGTTTGTCTGAGGCCAATTAGCACTTCAGACAAAACCGTCTAAAGAGTTTTGGAAAGAAGATGTCAAACATCCTCATTGATACAAATAATCATACTCATCCTTAATGCAACTTCCCTGCAGTAAGCACAATCACACCACTGAGTAATTTGGCACTTGACTTCTCTGGACAGACTCTACATCGGCAGAGTCTTCCCAGAGAAAGAATAATACCTGACAACATGTTTGTTTCTTTCTTTCTTTCCTGGCAAATTTGCAGACAGTGAAAGTACAAGGGAATGACATCTCACACAAGCTGCAGATTTCAAAAGTGAGGAAAAAGGATGAAGGCTTGTATGAGTGCAGGGTGACCGATGCCAACTATGGAGACCTTCAGGAATACAAGGCCCAGGCATTTCTCAAAGTCAACGCTAACAGCCACTCCCGGCGAATGCAAGCCTTTGAGGCATCTCCGATGTGGTTGCAAGACATGAAACCTCGCAAAAACATCTCAGCAGCTGTTCCAAGTAGCATCCATAACTCTGCCAATCAGCGTGTGCGTGCCACCTCCAGCCCTGAAGCAGCAGCCAAAATCCCCAAACAAAGTCCACAATCAGGTATGGTAAAGCATTTTGAGCTTTCATTTGATTGCTTACCAGAATGTAAAAGGAGGTTAACTCGACAAGGTAACCAGGAATTGTGACTAGGAAGAGTGTGGTGCTCATTTATTCTTCTTTCTGGCTCTATTCCTCCTGCTATCTCCTTTCTTCCAAAAAGCTGAAGAATAAGTTTCTGGGCAGAAGAAGCAAAAAGCCTTAAATTCCTATACATGTATTTTATCTCTACTGGTTTTATCTGCCTAAGGTTAGCTCTCTAATCAAAGCTTAGCTTTCCCTGTAGTGTGTGTGGAGAGAGAGGGGCATGTCAGTGAATGATTCATCTCATTTTAGACATCTGCATGATAAATTAAATAAACACCTATCCAGAAGTGTTTCTCCCTAAGTCAATTTACACCAGTCACCTAACTTTTATCTCTCTAACATTTAGTAAATTTAATCTACTTTTAGTATCAATAGTATTTTCATAACGAACTTGACTTCTAAATCTAGGCAGACCTTAGATACACCAAATTGTTTCTCTGTTGTGTAGGCTTTAGAAAGACATGGGTTTGTCAGAGAATGTGGGTTTGTCATCTTCAGCTGCTTGACCATTTGCTTTGAATCAAGCGTTAAAATGGCAATGCCTCAGTTGTCTGTCACATAGAAATTAACATACTAGACATTTTGTTTGGAAGATTTTGTACAGCACTGTATAAATGTAAGCAATATAAGTCTACATGTTCTACATTGATCCAGTAAAATTCAGAGTTATGCAAAGGTACATGAATATATAGGAGGTGCAACTGTTCACCACTGTATCATGGCAATAGAGAGATGAACGGGATAAAAACTTGACATGTTGTAAATGATCAAAAATCCTCTGGAAAACAACCTGTGCAAGTTTAAGGGTTTCTGGGTTACTTCTGTTTACACTGAGGGCTCCAAGGCAGGAGATCACAACCTAGCTTAAAATGCATAATGGAAGCTAACCTAGTTGGTAGGGATGCATCATTTTTCTGCTAACAAATGCCATATCATACCAAAACCAAAACTGGGATCACAATAAATTTCATAGCACACCTACTGTGAAATCACTTTCATCTTATAGGCATACAAAAACATTTTGATAAGGAAAATACATTTCATTACCGATTGGAACAATATAATTATTCATATGAAAATTCTTATTGCTATTAGAAAAGATGATGCGCGTATTACCACCATTTTGCCTCTGTATACATTTTTAAAAATTTAAGTAAAAGTTACATTCTTTTCCCTGAAATGGAACCACTTTCATTTTTTAGCTCTTCCAAAAAATGTATAAGCTGTCAGAAGAAAAGAAATATTTCAGTTTATTTAAAATCATCATTCTACCATGGCTTTCCTTTCAGAGAAATGTATATACCACTTATTTTCCATTGGACTCATACATTTCAAAGTAGCAGACTTGTCTATAAAGTGGATACTCTGGTTTCTGTTCAGTTATATGTGAAATTAATTAAAACAGTCACAAGTTTATGAAATATGTAGCTACAGACTACACTGCATTGCACCCAAAGTGTGCACATAACAGCTAATCCACTAAATCACTTTGGATATATAATTGAATCTATAGTATTGTTTATGTCTTTAGTCCAAGCAATGTCTTGCCTGATTACTGAACATTTGTTATTTGAGAGCTAGTAGGTTATTACATGTAAAGGTCACTGTTTAAAAAAGAAACAAACAAAACCAAACTTAATCTCTGATTTTTCCTTAAGCAAAGATTATTGCAGATCAAGTACAGACAGTCCCAATCATAAAGAATTTAAAAATTAGATTAGAATATAATTTAGTTTATTAATACATTTGTTTTATGATGAAGCACAGATTAATGCAGTATTCATCAGAGGTGAAACTCATCTACTGAAGAAACAAAGAGTGTACCAAGAATCCATATTAGGCTTAATCTCAATTTAACAGTCACTTGCTACTTGGTAATTACTGGTGATATTTTTGATGAACGTCACTTTAACTCTTGAGATCCAAGATTCACTTTCATTTACTTGAGAAAATCTGGGCCTGATTTTCCAGCTATGGTGTGATTTGGATTTTCACTCCATTTTACACTCACTCTACACCAATAGAAATACCCGTGGGAGCACAGGGCAGTGGAGGTTTTTAGCTCTATGTAATTTTGAGGAGTAACTTCAGCTGAGGAGGGAGATACATCAGTTGTGAGACCTCAGAAAAGTGGAAAGGAGGTGTCATAGACAGTAACAGTCTTTCTTTTTATGATACTGAATCAACACAATCTCCTTATACTGTCAAATGAGAAACTCTTCCCTTCTTCAACATCATGCTGACTATATATGCATTCACAAGACTACTGTGTAATTACATTACATGTGAGCAATGTATCCATCCAGCCTAGAACACTGAAACAAGTTTTAATACAAATTTATCATTATTAACCACGTCAGTATTTGAAAGACGTAGGGGGTGATTGTGATGTGTTTGTTCATGTTGAGTAATTCATTGACTTCAGCAATACTATTTGAAGAGAGAAGTACTATTAACCATAGGTAGTTGTATAAAACATTCTCCAATATTAGAGAGCTGGTGCATAGTTATTGGCAAGCAATAAATTTTACTGCCATGCTCACAGACTATTGCGAAATACGTTTACAACAGATGGAAACACAACACTGCAAAATTATTGAGAAACCTGTATTCAGATATTTCTCAAGAACTTGGATACTAATAGAGGAAATAATGACCCTGATTATATGAATATTTTGTCCCCAAAATTTATTCTTGAAAGGTAGATAGCACTCTACTTAATTCCTTCTGTCCTGAAGCACACTTCAGACTTTCATTTATTTCTTAACAATAGATATTTAGTAGTAGCTCTAGAAAAGTAGTTTACAGTCACTGCCATTTAAAAATATCAGCATTTCCCAACTGAGCAGATATTTCTGCCATTCTCCTCTCAAAAGTAAAAATATCTGTGATAACTATGAGGGAGCTGTATAGTCAGGGCTGACAAATTAAAGTGATATGAAGTCCATACAGCATTTTGCGCTGCTCTGAAAAATGGTGTATGAGTGTAAAAAGTATATGTGTTATTATTAGCATAATGGAGATTCAATATAGGAGGAAAGAGCTGAAGAGAGCACATCCCACAGACAGTCTTCAGATAATGTACTGAGAAGCACTAAACATCTACCTCAAAATCAAAAAAGTCAGGAAAGCAAAAGTCAAAGCTGACACAGCTTGACCCTTTCATTTCATATTCATGGGCAGCAGTAAATAAAGTAAACCATCACAGCTTAACAAGAATCTCAGTAATTTGATAGGCTAATCTGCATATATCCAGAAAATGTCCTATGTAGCTGGAGTGACAGACATTTTTTTTATGCATAATTCATAACAGCGTATCTTAATCCAAAGGTAAAAATACAGAATTATCACAGAACATTGTAGCTCTAAGCGATGTTGCGATTAACTGAAATCCAAAGCTCCAACGAATTCAGGTAAAAGGAAGCTAAAAAATCCACAGGCTGCACCAGATCTCACTGTTTCATGGATATAAATCTAGACAGTGTCTGCTACTTGCATTCAAGTCACTCAACATTTATAGCAATAGAAAGGGCTGCAGAATCTGATCTGTTGGGAATCTGTATATCCCCCAAACTCTTCCTCTTCTACCAATGCTCAGTTAAAGCACTCAAAGCTATTAGTTGCTTTTCAGATTCAAGAAGATCAGACTCAGAGAACTCAAGAGGGAATAGCTCCAAAGTAAGAAGTGACGTTAGGTCCATTTTCTGACTGCTCACATACAGATGCTGCACATTTCTAGCAACTTTTTGTTCTTTCCTGAAGTAACAGATTTACCTATTAGCCTAACTACAAGCCGAAACTGTTCCCGTGATGATGGCAGAGTCGTAGTGAGTGACTTGAAAAGGAGCACAAAGGAGAACGTGGTTCTTACCTAAGATATAATGACCTGGATTCTTGGCATCATAAATCACACTGAGAAGCTGATCATCAGGTGTGAATGCAAAAGAAGAGGATGAAAACCGGTCTGTTGATACTGATAAACTGATGATTTTCCTTCCAGCCACCATTTTTATCCACAGAATCCAGGAATCTTTTATTATCAACCTATTGTAAACAAAAATTTTATGTCCACTCTGGCATCTTCTGGGATATAAACCAACCTCTGTCTTCCTGGTTTTTTTTTTCTTTTATGTTACTTCTCCTCTTGAAGTGAAGGGACAAAAAGTCTGCTCTAGCCTCCACCAAGGTGACAGCTGACATTGCTCTTTTCTTCACTAAGAGAAAGATTTTGGCTTTTGCAGCTGCTGTTTTGCTGTTTTAGAAACTGTGAGTACCCATAAGGCTGGGAGGCACCGGCTGTTACTATGGTTGTTGCACAGCAAAAAGTCAAGTCTCTGTTTCCTTAGGACTATGTTAAAGCAAAAGTCAAATGAGAGTTTTACTCTTATTCTGAAGCTTATTCAGCCATTCTCGGAAATTCTTGCAAAAAGATGATGCAAGGACTATCCCTTTTTATACCTGTAGGCACTACAATCTCTGTTTTTACTTGAAACTTACGCTTTGGTTCTCTCTTCCTAAAATGAAGCCACTCTACTTTTTTAGTTTCTCTGAAATAATGGAATAAATTCTAAGCATGTTAATTGATATAGCCCTGTTAACCAGTTAGTTGCTGACCTTGAAACTGTAAGCATCTTCTGAGAAGCGCTAATGTACTCCAGATAACTTTGACAAAGCAAGGTCTTAATAGCAGTTAACTCCCTTTTTTTAGGCCAGGATTTCCAGTGCAGAATGAACTCCCTACAGCCTTATGTTTCTTTCATAAATCCCATGTCTTAATTTCTTATATGCACATACTTACTGATAGAACCAAATGCACACAGGTATTTGAACTTCTGTTCCTAGTGCTTAGTCCAACTGAACCCCAAAACCAAAAAAGTTGTTTTCAGTCAATGTGCAGCTTTAACTCCTGTCACAAG